GAGGGTGGGATGTTTCAAGAGAACAGCATCGAAACATGTATATCTAGGGTGAAACAGATCACCAGCCCAGGTTGGATGCATGAGACAAGTGCTCGGGCCTGGTGCACTGGGAAGACCCAGAGGGATGGGGTGGAGAGGGAGGTGGGAGGGGGGACCGGGATGGGGAATACATGTAAATCCATGGCTAATTCATTTCAATGTATGACAAAAACCACTGCAATGTTGTAAAGTAATTAGCCTCCAACTAATAAAAATAAATGGGGAAAAAAAAATAATAAGTCATGGGAGGAGGATCTGGACTCAGGCGCAAAGGTTAGTCAAGACCAAAAAACTCAGCAATCAAGAACAGTGATATTCTAATGCCATATTTTTCAATTACTGCAAAAAAAAAATCCATGATGAACAAAATATCAACACTTTAAACTAAGACAGGATTAATAACAGTGCTTTGCTGAGCCATGTTGAAGCCTAGGGCAAAAGGAAATATCAGTAATACTGATTCTGTCTTTATTTATCTTGTTAGTGAGTCTTTTCAGCTTCTCAAATTTTGCGCCTCAGGTGGGTGCCTCCCTCGCTTCACCCTAGATCTGGCCCTATGTGGGAGCCAGAATTATCTCCCTTAATCACACATGTGATCACTCATCAGGGCTCTGATCATCTCTCTCCCAGGGCTCCCTGTTACCTTCGGGAAAGAGTCCAGGTGCCCACTCTGGGCTTGGAGAGGAGTCTGTAATTGAGGGGGCACAGACATCAGCACGCCCTGGAGCAGGCTGTGTGGTTTACACACAGCAGGCTAAGGACACTGGCTCCAGACTTAGACAGGGTTTGGATCCTATTCTGTCATTTGTTGTTGTTGTCCAGTCACTAAGTCATGTCCGACTCTTTGCGACCCCATGGACTAAAGCATACCAGGCTTCCCCATCCTTCCCTGTCTCCCGGAGCTTGCTCTAACTCATGTCCATTGTTGGTGATACCATCCAGCCACCTCATCCTCTGCTTGTCCCCTTCTCCTCCTGCCTTCAATCTTTCTCAGCATCAGGGTCTTTTCCAATGAATCGGCTCTTCGCATCAGGTGGCCAAAGTATTGGAGCTTCAGCTTCAGCATCAGTTCTTCCATTGAATATTCAAGACTGATTTCCTTTAGGATTGACTGGTTTGACCTCCTTGCAGTCTAAGGGACTCTAAAGAGTCTTCTCCAGCACCATAGTTTGAAAGCATCAATGCACTGGCACTCAGCCTTATTTATAGTCCAGCTCTCACATTCGTACATGATTGCTGGAAAAACCATAGCTTTGACTATACAGACCTTAGTCGGCAAAGTGTATTCTTGTCATTTACTAGCAGTGTGATTTTGTATGATACACTTAAAGTCCCAGGATCTCAGTTTTCTCACCTGAAAGAGGGTGAAACAGTCATGCAGGATCCCACAGAGTTGTTGAGAAAATTCAATAATTAAAAACAAGACAGCATCTAATGCATGGTAAGTGCTCAATTAGTCATTCAACAAACATTTGTTAAACATGTGCTGTGTGCCAGGTATATAGTACTAGAGCTTTGGGGTTTGATACATGCTATTTATTGCTATTACTATTATTTAATCCTCACAGCAGCTCACAAGGTAGGTGCCGCCATTTTCCTCCTTATCTTACAGGTGAGGAGACGGAGCCTCAGAGGGATTAAGTAACACATCCAAGCTAAGCCAATAATTAAATGGAGAAGATAGGGTAGGACCCCAGTAGATGTGGCCTCAAAGTCCGCAGGGTTCTTAGTGTGGGCTTTCAGAGCCCTGCCTACAGGTTTGTCTTTCCTTCATGTTCCTCAGTGGGCAGAACCTATGGTGTCTTCAGCCTCCTGTCTGCCTCAGGCTTCGCAAGAAGCTTGCAGCTCACAAGGTAGGTGCCGCCATTTTCCTCCTTATTTTACAGGTGAGGAGACGGAGCCTCAGAGGGATTAAGTAACACATCCAAGCTAAGCCAATAATTAAATGGAGAAGATAGGGTAGGACCCCAGTAGATGTGGCCTCAAAGTCCGCAGGGTTCTTAGTGTGGGCTTTCAGAGCCCTGCCTACAGGTTTGTCTTTCCTTCATGTTCCCCAGTGGGCAGAACCTCTGGTGTCTTCAGCCTCCTGTCTGCCTCAGGCTTCGCAAGAAGCTTTTTATACAGTAAGTGCTCAACAAATGGTCAACAAAGTGAATTGCATCTGGTCTTGCAGCTTTCTTGAATACGCTTTGTGGTGTGTGCCCTGGTTGTTACTGCTTTGCCGCGAAGCTGCGTCTGCCTCTTTTGTGACCCCATGAGCCGTAGCCCACCCAGGTCCTCTGTCCGTGGGATTTTTCCGGGCAAGAATACTGCAGTGGGTTGCCGTGCCCTCCTCCAGGGGATCTTCCCAACCCAGGGATCGAACCCGCATCTCCTGCACTGGCAGGCAGATTCTTTGCCACTGAGCCACCAAGAAAGCCCCTTAAACCAGGTAGTCTATAGCATTTCATTATGCCAGCCTGAGTAGTGTTAAAGTGTTTCTGAAACAACTCGCATGACCCATCAAGGAATGAAAGTCAGACAGGATATTCCAGAATGCCATGATCCTGAACATTCACATGCCCCTCCCCTCCCTTGATTCTTACAGAAACACTTACCAAACATCTGCCAGATGTCAGACCCTGTGCCAGGCACTTGAAACTGTGGAAACTAGAGTGGAGTCCCCGCCTGGTGGAGCTGACATTTGAAAGGGGCAAGGCATCAGATAATGACAATGTCGATAAAAGCGGTACGGGCTACGGAGAATGTGCGTGGTTCTTCTCTGCACTCCTAGTCCCCTTCAGGGATAGAGGACCTGGCTCAGGTGGTAGAACTGAGTCCAGAATGAAACTCTTCCCTCCCCCTCCTCCCCAGCCCGCACACCTACTCCTCCGAATACTAGAGATCCCACCTCCTAAGTCTTTTTCCCATCAGCCACTTCTCTCCATCCTCCCACCACCCTCATCCAGGCTGCCATAAGCATCTCCTTAGTGCTGTTCCTGCTTCCAGCCTGGTTCCCATCCCCATTCCATTCTCTCCTGGGCAACCAGAGCCCTCTTTTCAACCTGCAAGTCTCACTTGGCCTCTCTCCTCCTGCAAACCCTGCCAAAGCTCAACTTGCCTATAGCAGTGGTCTCTGAAAGGGGGCATCGCAAACCAGGGTCAGTGCAGGACGATCCTCCTGGGTGTGGGAAGAAGGGATAAGAACTTCTCTTTCTGTGTATTTTCTATCGCATCTGTTTGGGAAGTTGTATTTCTGGGATGTGTTTTATAATGTAGTTTCTTGGTTCAGGTTCCCTGGGAGCAGAGCCTGAGGCAAGGATTTGGATCCATGTGACTTACAGAGAGGAGGGCACTCGGGAGAAACCTACTCGAGAGTCGGGGAGGCAGAATGGAGAAGAGGGGAAAAGCTAATAAACAAGGGCGGGGACCTCAGCTGGCGTCTGGCTTCCGCCTGGTCCTTCCGGGATCTCCGACAGGTGAGTTGCGTCACAGGGGGTTGACCTTTTGTGTCGCTGTCAGCTGCCTACCCTTAGGGTGGCGAGGGACGTCAACTTCAAAGCAAGGCCCCTCATTTTGGCCAAGGGCAGCTGCCCAGATGAGAGGGCAGCTCATTTATGAATCAGTATACAGCATGGGAAAGGGAACGGGCACCCAGAATGTGAACTGTATGTACAGGAGTGTGAGAAGAAAGGATCAGATGGTCTATTTATATCTATTTTCCACTTCTTCCTTTTACACTTTATGTATTTTCCCCCTTTCTCTCCATTTTATGTATTTTCTTCCCTTCTTCATCCTCCCCCTCTCCCTCCCCTTCCTCTCCACTTCTCCCATGTTTCATAATAGACACATCACCGTGTGTCTGTGATGTATTAGTGTAGGATTATGTGTGTAATTTAGCAGTAGATACATCAATACTCATGTCGTTTTGACTCCCTCGGGGAGTATAGATGAACTTGAATCCACATCTGAATCCCTCTTCCCGTGGCTGGAATCCAGTCATGCTTAGAAGCCAGGGCTGGGATGGGCAGGGATGAAGCACAAGCAGCTGAAATCTAACCCCCTTCAGAGGCGCCCAGCCTTGTTTACTTTGGAATCCGGCATCAGAACACTTTGACCCAGTCTCACTGGTCCCCTCGTCACTCACTGGGGGCGTGGGAAGGGGGAGATTGCACCAAGGGGAGCCCTTGCCGCTATTTTTAGAGGGTCTGGTAATTCTGAGCTCTTCCTATGCCTCAGCCAGCCCTTAATGGAGCCTCCTGATGCTGTGAAATCCACAACTTGTGTCATCCTTGGCCAAAAACAGCAGCCAGAGTGGAAAGCCCCATGGGTCAGGGGAGCCAGTGGTGTGGTCATGTGCTTGGAAACAAAGGGGGTTCTCACTGTGTGCCAGGCTGGGCCCTCTCTGCAGATTACTCCCATCTCAGCTTCTGGGCTGAGACTGGGAGATCAAAATTCAGGTCACATCTGAAACAGACCAGCCTGAAAAAGGAGGGGCTCAAAAGTTAGACACAAGCAGGACCCAACCTCACTCTGGGCAGACACCCAACCTCAAGAGCTAAGTGACCTTGAGCGACTTTGGTAATTTCTCTGAAGTTAAGACCTTTACAACACCTAGGTCAGTTTTCACAAAGCTGAACCCAGGACAGTGTGCTGTGAGCATAGTCCTAACAACTGATGACAATAACTGAGCAGTTTGCTGTATGCCCAGAACTGTGCGAAATGAGATGAGTGTACCTATGTGCATATGTACACACGTCACGTGTGTACACACATACATGTGTTCTAATTCTGTAACCTCAACAACCCTATTAGCTGGGCATGTCGACCCTGGGTTTTCACCGAGGAGTCTGGGGCTCATCGAGGCCGAGTAACTCATCACTGCTGATAAGCGAGGGCCCTGGGGTTTAAACCAGGGCTGCGTACATCCTCACCACCCCCTTCACCGCCTCACATACCTTCCCTCTGTTATCAGCTCCCCCAGTACAGACTCCGAATCCTTCTGAGACCGTGAAGCCCTTGTTTGCAGGTATTTGGAAATTGTAAAGAGAAAGCAGAATCGCCTTCATTAAAAATTCCACGTGGAAGCCAGTTGGGTGTAGAAGATGCACACATCCGATGGACTGAACATCTTTATCTCGGTTGCTGCCTACCCTAAATTAAAAGCACCTGAGGGTACCGCTGTCTTAATTAACAGCGTGCCTTGTTAACGGCGTAAACATTTCTCCTGCTACGTGGAGCAGATCGTGCCAACTAAAGGCGGAGACGAGGCCGAGCCGGGGGGCTCCTGTCACCCGTCTGGTCCCTGCGTGTCTTCCGGGAGGTCACGGAGATGCAGGGCCCTAGGGTGATGGCCGCCCCTGTGCAGTGAGCTGCTGCGGGTCTGCGGGCTGCCCTTGGAGGTTGGGAGCTTGGATTTGGAGTCACTGAGACCTGGGCGTGTGTGCTGGCCCCTCTCTGGGCCTCAGTTTCCCCAGCAGTGCTCAGCTCACAGGACGATGCAGTACTTACCCAACTCCCCCCACCCCCCACCCCACCTGGAGCCCAGGTGAGGCTTGAATGAAGACATGTGCACAAAGGTACTGAGCACAGGGCCTGGCAGGTACGGATGGGTGCCCCACTCCCCCTTCCATCTGCTCTGGTGGACTTTTTTTTTTTTTTTATGCCTTTTGGCCAGTGAGCATCAGTGTCCGGCCTGGGTAGGGATAATTTCCCCTGTCCAGAGTCCTGCCTCTCCAAGGAAGAAGCCAAAAACTCACCTTTCCATCTTCCTTGTCAGCTTTGGTCCAATCTGGGGACCCAATCTTGGAAGACTTGGATTTTCTTTTTTTGTGGGGGGATACGTCTTTTATTGAAGAGTAACATGTGTGTGTGTGTATGTATATATATATGTATAAAATCACACAAAGCATAAGTATGTTGCATGCTGAGTATTTATACACTGAACATAGTCCTGTAACCAGTGCCTAAAATATAAATAGGAGTGTTACCCACTCCCCAGAAGACCCTGTTGAGCCATCTTCCAGTCACTCTTCCCCAAGAGTATCTACCCTCTTGACTTCTAAAGCATAGGCTAGTTTGGATAGTCTTTGAACTTTATAGAAGCGAAATTATATAGATATGTTACATGAAGATATATATGGAAATTAATGGAATTAATTGTATATGTAAATTGAATCAATATACATAGAAATATAAATTATATTGTGCATGTAGCTATACATAATTCATCTCCATTGCAGAGCATTATTCCACCATGTGATGATACCATAGTTGGTTAATTAATTAATTAAAAATATTTATTTATTTGACTGCACCAGGTCTTAGTTGTGGCATGCCGGATTTTTAGTGATGGCATGTGAGATCTTAGTTCCCTGACCAGGGATCGAACCCAGGCCCCCTGCATCCAGAGCTTGGAGTCTTAACCACTGGACTATCAGAGAAGTCCCTGCAGTTAATTTATTAATTCAACTGTTGATAGACATATGGACTGTTTCCAGTTTTCATCTAATACAAGTAGGGCTGCTATGAATGGTCTTGTACATGTTTATTGGTGAATGTATGTATGCATTTCTTTTGAGTAGAATTGCTGATTCAAAGACGATACACACAGCTGGTTGAGCAGGCGCTGTGAAATGCTTTAGGAAGTGTTTGCCCCAGTTTTACAGACACTGATACTATCTGAGAGTTTGCAATGGCTCCAGCCTTGGGGCTTCCCAAGTGTCACAGCAGTAAAGAATCGCCTGCCAATGCGGGAGACTCAGGAGATGTGAGTTCGATCCCTGAGTTGGGAAGATCCCCTGGAGGAGGAAATGTCAACCCACTCCAGTATTCTTGACTCGAGAGTCCCGTGGACAGTGGAGCCTGTTGGGCTGCGCCTCATGCAGTCACAAAGAGTTGAACATGACTGAGCCCGCACGCACACATTGGTGTCTATGACTTTTACATTTTAGTCTATTCTGGTAAGAACGAGCAATATGACATGGTGGTTTTGATTGGCATTTTTTCTAATATCTGAGCACCTTTTCATGTACTTATTGGCTAGTTGGAGATCGTCTTTTGTGCACTTCCTGTTCATGTCTTTTGCCCACTATTCTCTTTGGGTTGTCTGCCTCTTTCTTACTAATTTGTAGTTCTTTTTAAGACTTTTTGAATACAAGTCCTTTCTGAATTTGCAAATATCCATTCCCCCTCTCTTGGGTGTGTTTTCATTCCCTCCACAATATAGTTTGATCACTATGAACCATTGTGCCTATCATCCAACTTATCAGCCTTCCCCTTCAGGTAGCACTCTTGTGGCCTATTTGAGAAGCCTTTGCCTACCCCAAGGTCCTGAAGACACTCTCCCAGCTTTTGCCTAAACATTCTATTGGTTTTCCTTTCACGTTACCCATACAATCCATCTGGTATTAATTCCTGTGTATGGCAGGGTTCAAACTGATTTTTTTTCCAACATGGATTGATCCAGTACCTGTAATTGAAAACAGCATCTTTCACCCTCTGCTTCCAAGAAATTTTGTTGTAAGTCAGGTGGCTATTTATGAGTGAGTTGACCTCTGAACCCTATTTTGTTCCATTGGTCTATGTGTCTAACTTTTAGGAAACTTTCATAGGGAAAAGAGGTTTCTGAAATCAGGAGATACCCCCAAGGAATCCATTTTTGGTAATGATTGTACAAGAGGCAGGAAGAAATCCATTCAGCTTCTGGAAGCAACTGTGTCTACCGGTTCCTAGAGCCTTGTTAGTATGGGTTATGTTGTGAGTATTCTTCCAGGTGGTGCTAGTAGTCAAGAACCCACCTGCCAATGCAGGAGATGGCAGAGACCCAGGTTCGATCCCTGGGTTGGAAAGATCCCCCGGAGGAGGGCATGGCAACCCACTCCAATATCCTTGCCTGGAGAATCCCAGTAGACAGAGGAGCCTGGCGGACTACAGACCATGGAGTTACAAAGAGCTGGACACGACTGAGTGACTAAACAACAATGGTGTGTGTGTCCTTAGTAGATGTACAGTCTCCCCTCTAATGGTCCAGGGGGATGAAATGAGCATTGACCTTGGTCTTGTAGCCTCAAAGCTGAATCTCCCTTCCCTCCATAAGGCTGCACATGAAGCATTTGAATCCCCCATGTTCGCCATCCCCCCAAACCAATTTGCCCCTGCATGCTCCTTCCCCAGTAAACTGTGAAATACAAGGTCTCCTTGTAATACTTTTATACACTGCTCACTGCAGTTTAATATATGAGACACTGCATCATAGTCTGGAGGTTCAAAATTACCTCGAAGTAATCATTTCCTAGAGGGCTGGTAGTAAACATTCTGTCACATAGCTATAGATTGTCGCCTGTCGCCATCCATCAGCCCCCAGGGAGATATTAGGGGAATGATGCAGGAGTGAACTGAGAGCAGGTGCACGCGGCTGCCAGCCCTCTGCAGAGGGAAACAGGGGAACAGGCTTGGTGGCCTTATGGCGGGCTGGCTTTGCGGGGGTGGGCTCTGTCTGCCCAACAGCCCAGGGTTGGGTTTGAGCTGTGGGTGGCCTGTTGGCTTAACTCAGTTCCAGGGTCACTGACCCCTTCAACCCTCATCTTGGCCTTCTGACACCTTCCCTGCAGCCTTCAGATCAAAGCCATCACCTGCGTTTGCACAGTGATAATGGTGGTGTGTGGTGGTGCATGAGTGTGCGCTCAGTCATGTCTGACTCTTTGCGACCCCATGTAGCCTGCCAGGCTCCTCTGTCCATGGGATTTTCCAGGCAAGAATACTGGAGTGGGTTGCTATTTCCTTCTCCAGGGGGATCTTCCCTGCCCAGGGATCAAACCCTCTTCTCCTTCGTCTCCTGCATTAACAGGTGAATTCTTTACCCCTGCACCACCTGGGAGGCCACAATAATTACAGTCACCATTTACAAGCATTCCCTCTGCCCCATGGAGTCTGCTGATCCTTTTCAGGGGTCATCTCATTAATCTTCAGAGTGACGCCAGGAGGGAATTATAATGTTAGCTGCATTTCACAGTTGAAGAAACTGAGGCTCAGAGATGTGGGAAAGCTTGCAAAGTTACACAGCTGGCCAGTGGCAGAGCCAGGATGTGAACTGGAAACTTGAGTATCTGCCTCTAGAGACCAATTGCTAAATCACCACGCATTGCATCTGTAGACACCCAGCCGCTCATTGAGCCCATGAACTTGTACCCGTGCTGCTCTCTGAGGCATGCTGTCCTCATCCAGATTGAGAAACCCAAGTTCAGCACGTAGATGGCTTTGCCAAAATTCCACTGCAGGGTTCTCTGGCCACACACCTGAAACTTCCTCCTGGGGAAGGCTTCTAGAGCACAGGTAAAACGTCACTGCCTGAAGACTTGCAGCACCTGTGAAGGTTCACCTCATGGACCTAAAGACTCAGTGAACTTCAGCCTAAGTCCCCAGCACAATCCAATCGGGTCTAAGGAAACGAAGTTGATACAGTGATACCCTCTTAAGAAAATTAATAGTAATACAACTTAGGTACAGGCAGAGCTATTTGTCAGGTGCATTCAGACAGCGGTCCTGAAACTTACATTTCATGAACGTCAAGATCAGTCCACTCTGGCCTGAAGGCTGCTGTGGGATCGCACCTTATTTATTCCAACGATGAGAAGTCTTGCCTCAGTGGGCATTTTGGGAATCTGAGATTGGAAAGAAGCACAAAGTAGCTCATTTAGAGGTTTTCAGCATGTCTGTCATTTTGGGGCTCCACCCAGGACTGGAACTAGGAGGCACCCGAGCCCTGCTTGACTGCAGCCCAGCATCAAAGTCTAGTCTCTGAGCTGTGCGTCTGCAAGCTTTGTCCACAGTTCTAGGCAAGATCAGCCAGACGCTGAGAACCAGCATGTAAGAAATTTTATAGCAGTCTAGTCTTGCAGGGGGGGCCAAGGGGACTTGCACCGTTGAACCAGCTATAGACCAGTTGAAGTGTTGAAATTCAGTGGTGAGATGCTGGTGATGCAAGCAAGTACTGATCACGCAGAGTAGGACCACATGATCGGGCTTCCCAGGTAGCACTAGTTGTAAAGAACATGCCTGCCAATGCAAGAGATGTAAGCGATTTGGGTTTGATTCCTGGGTCAGGGAGATCCCCTGGAGAAGGTCATGGCAACCCACTCCGGTATTGCCTGAAGAATCCATGAACAGAGGAGCCT